AGCTCCCCTTTCAGCGGCAGGTGGTGAGTTTCTCCATGAGACAGAGACTCAGTTATATTTAAAGAGCAGGCTTATTGGGGGAAAGGACAGGAGTCTTGGACACTTGCAAAGGCACAAGCAAGTGGGGGAGAGATGCCCAGCAGGGTCAGGTTTGCAGAGAGAGAAACCTGCATGGCTGCTGGCAGGTGGCCTTAGGAGAGAGGCCTCCACTGAGGGAGGTCAGTGCAGAGAGGTCCCGGCCTGCTACAGGTCATGGGCAGGCAGGAGGCTGCTGCTCTTGTAGAGGAAGAGAGCAGGTGGAAAGAAGCATGTGCATAGACACAGTGGGCAGAGGATTGCTGCCCCATGCTGGTGCAGAGACTGCAACAGCTTCTCTTTAGTCAGCTTCTCTTTGAGAAGGGCTCACTCGTTGTGAGCCTGGGTTTGTTGATTTTGAACAGTATCTAAAAGAACCAAAGACCCTGCAAGGACGGAGTCTCCCCAATTCCGTCCCATCTCCTTGTCTTTTACCTTTTGGGTCTGAGCTCTAGACACAGCCCCAATAGTCTGTTATCTGCTGGGACTTCCCACAAACATCCCACATCAGTGCCTAAGGACCTTGATTTTATGGCTGTGTCAAGGATCTTGATTTTATGGCTATGTTATTGGCTTACCCTGTGTGAGTCAATCTTGTGATGCCTCCCCCTGCATTCCTTCCTCCATCACTGGGAAGTCAGGAGACACATGGATGAGTCTGGACCATGTCTCTTTTATAGTTCTAGGCTCTTGTTACGCCAAACCCCAGGTCACTTGTTCCAGTTTAGGTCAAGTTCACATCACTTTTTGAGTATACCAATTTCAACCATAGACTAAAAGGAGCATAGGTTAGGTCCTTGGGACTTTGCATTGGCAGCTTAGCTGTCACTAGGTATCTCCCATCGGCCTCGTTACAATAGGAGGATAGAGTAGGTCTTATTTCTAGATGTCAAATCATCATTGGTTTCAGAGAACCGCCAAAATTTAGAATTAGAAGGACTCAAAGTACAGAGAGTACTGGTCAGGATTCAGTCTGGGGAAGAGGAGTCAGCTGCTGTTGATAGCTGAAAGCAGGAAATTAGGAGAGCAGGTCTTAAAAAGTCAAAAGTATACAAAGAGTTTTGAGATGACACAGAAGTCGTAATCACAGGATTCAGATGTGAATCTGTAACTGGAGAGACAAAGAGAACAGAATCTATAAGTTCCTAAAAGAGAACCACTGAGCTGGGACCTATGCCCTGAGGAAGCTGCCTGACTTCTGGCTTCCCTAAAGGAGAGCCATGAGCTAGGTTTGGAAGTGCAGGAAACAACAAAAACAGAAGTTATGACATAGCTGTGGTGAAGAACCACTGCTGAGATGCCACTGACAGGAACAGCAGGTGAATAGGAACAGGCCCCTGCCCCCCTGGGGTCTCTCTGGGCAGAACCCAACTGGCTATGACAAAGGAAGTCTGTAGAGCTTCAGCCCCAGCAAGCACAGGATGGGGGTTTGGAGCTAGGAACTGACTTACTGGCTGGCACAAAGAACACCTGGGCCCCATCCCTGGCCTTTTCCACCTGAGAATCTGAGATCCTGAGCTTATGAGAGAGCAGCAGTATAGTTGTTGCCATCAGGTAACAATGCAATGACAATTACAATGCACTCTTATAAAGTAGAAAACTGTCAACTCTGCATGTGTTTAGATGGCAGAAAATTGTATAGATAATAGTTGTAGTTAGATGAGACATTTTCCAAATGTGTTTTGGCATGTAAAAGTCATACTAATTATAGTAATTTGTGACAGTTAATTAATTACCAAGCTATAGAAGTGTGAGTATGTATGTTAATATTAAAGGGCAGATCAACTTAGCCTCTGATGATGTAGGTACATGCCTTGTTGTTGTTTGTGTGACATACTCCTACACAAAAATCAGAACATATTTGTAGAAACATTGCCTGTTAGTGTCCTAACAGAGGCAAGGAAATGAAAACCAATGGAGTGATTAGGGAAAATACCCTCAAATGAAATGTCCCATCAACTCAGATATGTTATCTTCATCATCAACTCCCTGGCTGTTTCCTCCAGACACCAGAAATCATTTGATGGTTTTTGTTTGCTTGTTTACATGACTCAAAATTACCATAAAACACTTGCAGATGGCCTAACACAAGAAGAAAAGCACAAAGAGTCTGGGATTTTGAAGCCCAGCTCTGCCAGGTGACCTTGAGCAAATTTGTTTCTTATTTGTTACATTGAGATAGGGATATTCATTTATTTATTCAACAAATAATGTGCTAAATGCCTACCTTGCACCTGGCATTGCGCTAAAGCTTAGGAAACAGTGAATCCCTCTGCAATCAATGAGCTTTCCTTGCAGAGCAGGAAGTCAGGAATTAAAGACATAAATACACAAAATATTGCTTAGCTTTAAACAATATATAAAAATATATAATATTTTTAATACATAAGTGCGAACAATAAAGGTCCATTTTATAGAGTGGAGAGAGATCCTACTGATGATGCAACCTCTTAAGGGAAGGAGGGAACCATAGGTGAGTGAAAGAACTTTCCCGATAGCAGAGGTCAGAAGAGAGTGCTCCACGATGAACCAGGCTTAGCAGGGACCATGCAAGAGATGAGGCCAGAAGCTGTGGGCAGGGTTGCTGAGGATGGGACTCAATCCTGTCGGGCACTGAACAGCAGCCTGATGCTATCTGGATTACTTTAAAAGCATCGCTATTGGGTATCTACTCAAAAGACAAAAGAACACTGATTCAAAGACACCTGCACCCCCATGTTTATTGCTGCTTTATTTACAATTGGAAAGACATGGAATCAACCCAAATGCCCGAAAAAGGCACAAAAGGATGTAAAAATAAACATATTATATTATATTAAAAAAAAAAAGCATCATGATTAGCCCAGTGCAGGATAAGTTTCAAAGGACAAGAGAACAAGGAAAGGGGGAATCCAGAATTCTGGTTTGAGCATGGGAATCCTGTAACTAAGAAGGGGAGCAAAGGGAAGGGCTGGGTAATGTGGCAAGTCTGCTGTGAGATGATAAACCAAAAATAAGACGATGCAAATAAATGCTATGTCCTTGACCACTTCTGGTGTGCAAACAACTTCACAATCACCCCTATTCCTTGGAAACCTTTGTTACCAGTTCCTCACATGCACCACCCACAACACTCCCTCTCTTTTTTATTCACTTCTTCTCTGCAGATCAATATACAGTCAAAATGTTTCCACAACAGTGGGAGGGCCAGCCAAACCTCACCCAGAAAAGAGTCCAACAGACTACAAAATCAGCAGAGAGAGATAAGTTACATTTTTAATAAAGAAAAATATTTGATACCAAACATCACGCATGGCAGTCCTTCCACTGCCTCCAGTAACCTAGGTTTCCCTGGTACTGGTTGTTTTTTAATAGAAAATCTGTGAAGGGTGAAATGCAATATTGTATAGGCATTTTTTCTTAGAATTTCTGAAGAGAAGCTAAGAAACTGAAAACTTTCCCCAAATCTATAGAAGTGCTTACTGTGTAATATGTCTTAGAAAAAAAAACTTCTAGTAGTTTTTTTTTCTTTTGCCTAACACTTTGGAACATAATATTAAATTTGTAAGTGATATAAATGTCAATGCATTTGTGTCATGTAAGTCTTAGCAATATTTTATCCAAAGTTATTTCCTCAAATAGCCAATATATAAATAGAAACATGCAGCCTACATATTTAAAAATATGCTTGGTTCTTTAAAATTCTTTATTGCACATTCATTTGAAATGTCAGTATTCAGTTCACATATCTCTATACTCTTAAGAATCATCAGCATTTAATTTATGAGTGTTTTTGGTTGGAAAGATTCTGCTGCTTAAAATTCAACTTGATTCCCTTGGTCTGAGTTGAGCAATACTTACCTCTCTGTTTTCCCCAAAACCCTCCCCTATGCCCAGTTTCCCATAATTAACAGAAACTTTCATGAGAGCAAAATGCTGCCCTTCTCCTTCCCCCACCCAGCACAGGGGCAACAACAGGGAAGGCCAGAGCATGAGCAGGGACACGTTTGTCACATCACTTCTGTGCTCGGTGACCAGGGAGCACTGAGAGATGTGTGACTGCACATAACCAAGAAGTAACTGGGGGACAACAGCAGGCAGGAAGCACACAACAGAGCAGCCAACTCAACAACTATGGCCCTTGGATGTGGCCATTACTTTACCCGGCAGCAGATGAACAGAACACTCAGCTCTGCCGAAGAGGCAAGGATCAAACAGGGGCCTCTTTCTTGCTTAGCAAGAAGGGGCATTGCCAGGGGCAAACAAACTCTTGTATGTGTCTTAGATTGTGGCTCGTGGTTTTTAAAACTCAATTACGTTATGACAGGAGCCTGGCACTGGCCTTAAGTGGTCCAGAGTTGCCTTCTGTTCACATGTTTCCAAGCACAACATTTCTAACTCATGGCCAAAAAATAATTTCTCCATTTCTGCCACAGGAAGAACTGACTGAATAGCTTGCTTTCTTTCTTTCTTTTAGATTTATTCATTTATGCATACAAAAACTAGGGTACAGGCCAGAGGTACAGGGAGTTGAGAGGATTCAACAGAGACAGAGTGGGGAGCAGAACAGGCAGACGGACTAAAATACACTGCCGAAGAGAGCAGCAGGTGGGACAGAAGAGGTCTACTAAGCCGTGTGGGTCACCTCCCTGACCAGGAATCGAACTCACACCGCAGTGGCAATGGATAGCTTCATAGTGCGGAGTTTTAACCCATTGTACCACCAAGGAAGGCCCTACTGAATAGTTTTCTCTAACTATTTAAATTTAATTCTGCAAATCCATATTTAAAGTGAGTGGCAAGATTAATCCAGTTTTCACAATCATGGTAATTAGCCTTAGTTTTGACTTTACTGACACAAGTTTGTTTCCAGCTGGGATAACCAGAGCCCCTGGACATGGACGGCAACGAGAATTGATTTTGACTGTCATGTTTTTGAATTTCAGGGATAGTTGCTGTTCTCTTCTGTGGAGTCACACAGGCACATTATACCTACAACAATCTGTCGCTGGATTCCAAAATGAGGACTAAACAGGTAAAAGAAAAAAAAAAAAACAAAAGCAAAGCCTCACTAGCGGTTTTGTCTTTATTCTCCATGTAATGGTTATGGAGCAATTCTGGCTGTGCACTCAGAAAGAATTTCATTAGTAAAGGAAGAAAGTAAGCTTACAGCCTCATTATAGGTTGGATATTTATAGATTTTTTTTTTCCTCCAGGATAACCATTAACAATTCTCTTGGTAAGCAAAAATATAGTTATAATAGTCTCTCCCTCCTGAGAAACGTGGAATGTAGACTATCAGTCTTGAAGATGAAAGGCCTTATACATGGCACTAATTCACAAGTCACTTACATCTAAAAGCATTATAAAGCATGTGAGATTGGCTAGTTATAAAGAGAGAAGGAAATGAAGACAAAAAATGAAGCAATGTTTGGTCTTTAATTGGGTACTTTGGCTTTCAAGTAAACACAACTGCCAATTGTCAAACAACCAGAATGTGTCTCCCAATGCCAAGAACGCATTGTGGAGTTTGCCCATGCACACTCCACAATGTCTCCTGCACAGCCACGCTGCCTAGAACTGTGCTGGATACGAGGAATAAAAGAGAATGTGCCTTGCGGAGCTTCATGTAGTCTGTTGATGGATAAAGATGTGTAAATAGCCATTATTCACAGTATGAGAGTATGGTAAGTACTGGGATAGATAGATGTGGCTAGGGAATCTTGGAAACATTCTATAACCTGAACTCTCAGAGTTAGGAATGGGAAGGTAAGGACAAAGTTTCCAGAGGTGAAACTATATCTGAAGTGTTAAATACACATTGAAGTGATTTATGTAAAGTGTGGGATCTTGTGGGAGTAAGAGATTAGCAGGAAGAATCAAGGTTGTGGGTAGCATGGACAAAAGCTTTGAAGCGCCAGAAAGAATCTTGTGTGGCTTGTGAAGGGGGTGAGGATGTAGTACTGAGAGAGAAGGTACAAGACTCTGACAGTGACGTAGGAAGCTATAGACAGAGACTATAGATAGATCATAGGAAACACTTGGTAACCTTGTGAAAGAATTTAGACTTTATCCCACTTAATGGGGAGTGACTAGGCTAGAAGTTGGAGATGAAGGTGTCAGCAGGATTACGTCCTTCTGAGGACTGTGAGGAAGAATCTGCTCCAGTCCTTTCTCAGCTTCTGATGATTTTCTGAGAATCTTAAGTCTTCTCATATTTGTAGACACAGGCTGATCTGTGATTTGGTGTTCACAGGGCATTCGTGCCTACCTCTAAATTTCCCATTTATATGAAGACACCAGTTTGTTAGGTTAAAGGCTCGCCTTACTCCAGTATGAGCACATCTTAACTAATTACATTTTCAATCACTCTACTTCCAAATAAGGTCTTGTTTTAAGGTACTGAGGATTCAGACTCCAACATGAATTTGGGGGGATCGTTCAGCTCACAATAAAATATCATAGAAGCAACACAGGAAGAGTGAGGATGATTGGTGGACCATTAGAAACATCACTTTGGAGAAAAGAGTGGCATGGCTTAAAATGTTCTTAGGTCTGTGAGCTGTTGCCTTGTAAGAACCAACCAGATAAACCTGTGGCATCCAACAATAAATATTTATTTTACACATCTGCAAAGGTCAACTCTTTTGATCTGGGTTGAGCCAGCTGACTCTGCTGTCTCAACTGAGTGGGTTCACTTGTGTTTGCTGAGTCTCTATTCTCAGGTCAGCTTGCCTGCAGAGCCGTGTCTGTCAGTCTCCTGTTTGAAGAATAACTGCAGTGTGCAAGACCATTTTAAGACTCAGTTTGCATCACATTTTATAAATATTTTATTGGCCAAAGTATATCAGAGGACTGAAGCCAATAGGTCCATACCTGTATGTGAAAGTTACATGGCAAGGATGACAGAGTGGAGAATAATGAGAACTCAGACTAAAAGACTGCCACCTCCCCCAAAGTGCTGAATTCACTTTCGGGGCTTGTACAGTAAGCCCAGCAATGGTGAGGACATCTAGTGTGAGAGAGGGAGTGCACAAAGTCAAAGCAACATCTAAGCAAAACCTGTATTGGCCAAGAATTCTGAGATAGAAAATTTAGGAGACTTAGGTTAATACTCTCGAAAATGGCTTTTTTTTTAATCCTTTCTTTATGTTTTCATGTCCCATGTTTACTTGAGCCTAACCTTACCTCCCACCTAGTCTGGCTTTTGCAATGTCACCCTTCTCCCCATTGCCCGTTAGAGAAACCACAGGATGCAATTACAGAAACCTTAAGGATCTCTGATTTTTAAAAATGAGCCAAAACCTGATATTAATACCTAGGAACCTCCAAAGTGTTGTCTTCTAGGATCATTATTTATGGAGGCTACTAGTATTCTCTAGGGCTCCAGGGGAAATGTCTTGGGCTGCTTTTTCCTGACCTTGTCTGGCTCTCAGAGCATTTGTATTCTGGGAAGCTGAACTCTGTTTAGGGACTTGCACTTTTAAGTCATGCTATCTAGACTGCTCAGCAGAACTTCAAAGATAACTCATCTCCTGGCGAGACAGCAGCCAGCACCTAGGAGGGACAAAGCCAAAATCAGTGCCCCACTGTCTTCTGTTCATTCTCTGAGTGGCTTGACAAGCTCTCCCTGATGGACTGCCAGCATCCATTTTTATAGCACTTGAAGAAAGGAAAATTTTACAAGTTCATTCTTTAACATCCAGATAATTGCACACCTCCATCTTTGTGAGTCGCCCTTGTTTTCTTTCCCGGGTGCCTGGTTCGTAGAAGGACTTAATGTATGACACTCCTCCTCCCCTTCCTACCTCACAGCTTCGCTCACTTCTTTTCAGTCTGAAAGCTGTCACTTTCCATTCACTTCTCCTCTTCTAATATACACATATGTAGCATATATGCATGGGTTTACACACACACACACACACACACACACACCACTGTTGAATATAACATCTAAAGTCACAACCTTGCAACAATGAGATTGGACTCTTTAACTAGCCTCATGGATCAGGGGTCCTTGGTTACATCCATACCAGTATAGCCAGAAAGTTCAAACTTGGTGTGGGAAAGCAACTATAAATGCCAAGCTGGCGCAGATATTACAGAGGTTGCCACTATTTCCTCTCTGAAACTGGGAAAGTTTGGAAAGACATGTGATTGCAGATGACTGTAGCCCCCACGATGCCTCCCCAGTGTGCTCATTGTCAGTGGGAGAAGCAGCATCACCCAGACTCCTTGCCTGTGTCCATGGAAAGCTTAGGGGGAGTAAAGGAAGCCAGTTGGTAGAAAAATCCACTTTGTATTATAAATCCAAAGGTGATCTGATTTACAAAGGAATTTTATTCACAGACTGTGCCTATACTGACTATCAAATAGCTACTGGGTGTAAAGACTTTTGAGAATTATATATCCTGTATAGCTTCAAGAATTAGAATGCCTTCTTAAAATAGTATTTTCACTTTAAAATATGTATTGTAACTATAATAACTGGATTAAGTGAATTGATTTTCACTCTAATCTATGAAAAAAAATAACATCACAATGAGTTAGACACAAAGCAGTGTAATAGAGATGTGCTGATGCTGTTACTCACCATGGAGATGTATATTTGGATAGCAAAATATTCTTTCAAAGGATCTATGAACACAGGCAGCAATCCCCTTCCTCAGGATCAGAGTGTGTGGCTTGACTTAGTGTGTGTACAACTGGTTCTAATGATAGACAGAATCTATAAGTCCTGTCTTTGCCCCTGGAAACAGGAATCTGCTAGATATATTCAAGACAATGTTCTGTGAGCCTACAGGTCTTACCATGAACCATCCAGAAGATGGCATAAAGACCCACATCCTATGACCTCACTCACACAAATTCAACCTTTCCATTATCCCTTCTTCCCTCATGCTCTCATCTCCTTGACAGTTCTGGCAATTAACAATCTAGGCCAAACCCATAATCTATCTTTTTTTTTAAGATTTATTTATATATGCATACAGAACTGGGGTACAGGCCAGATGTGCAGGGGCAGTGAGAGGCTTCACCAGAGAAAGAGTGGAGAGCAGAACAGTCAGATCGATGAAGTACACTGCTGAGGGGAGCAGCGGGCAGGTCAAGAGAGGTCTGCCACACCATGTGGCTCTTCTCCGGGGTAGGCAGGAATCAAACTCATGCTGAAGTGGCTTTAGCTTCTTAGTGCTGAGCTTTAACCTGCTGTGCCACCAGGGACAGCCCCCATCATCTAACTTTATCTTGTTTAAGTCTAACTTGCAGTACCATATATTTCTTTACCATTCCTTATAGTTAGAATTTCTCTTGCACTTCCTGCAGCTCCCACCTAAAAATTATTCCCAACAGATACAAACAAGTATATATTTATTATTCATTTAAATGACTAACATTTGTTATGCATTAGCATCTACAAAGTACTTATCTCATTTACTTTCTACTTACCTTTCTGCGTAAGAGGTAGCTCTTCTTATTATCACTGATTATATTCACTCATTCAACTGATATTTTTCAAGAGCCTATTTTGTGCCAGCCACTGTTCGAGGCATGTGATCCAAGCATAAACAATAATGATCTTTTAGTAGAGGAATTTATAGTAATCAAGACAAATAAGAAAGCATAGAACATTCTTGGTAAGTCAGACACGGTTGTTAAAAAAAAACAGAAAAGGGAACTAGGAATATATATATGGGAACCAAATCTGCAATTTTAGGTGGGGTGTTCAAGGAAGACCTCAATAAGAAAGTGATACTTGAGAGAAGGAAAAGAGGAATCTATGTGGACATTTGGTGATGAGCTGCCCAGACGTTGGGAACTACAAACAGAGTGGCCCCAGGGGCAGGATGCCCAGTGTCACTAAGACATAGCATGCCATGAAGGAGCATGAGACACAATCAGAGCAATGGCAAGAATTCATGGGGAGTCTGAGCAACATTGAAAAACACAAAGCTTTCAATGTAAGCATGGCATTAGTTGATCTAACATTTAAAAGATCAGAACTACCATTCAGTAGTTGGAAAATAGTAAGATAGC